CGGAACCATGTTGTAGTTATTCCCACAGAACACGGAAAAGCTGAACTTGTATTTTAGCACAGCTTTTTTTTCCATTATAGAAAACTATAATTATACAGTCTCTTCGAGCGAAACACAGAAAAATTGAGTATTGGCAATCATCACCTCTATGCTGCTTTTTTTTCAGTTTAAAAACATAAAAATATCTCATTTATCTTATTTACGTACTGTATGATGTTGCAGTCGCCTCAACATACTACACGGATGTTATCCTACTGTTCTGCTCAAATTAGAGCTGGTGACAAAGGTGTGAAATAGTGATCATATCTACAGAACACCTGCCAGATTAACTGCAACAACTAGCAGAATGTATAACATCTGTTGAATGAAATATTTTTTTAGAACTATCAGTTTGAAAAAATTTTCGTAAACTTCGAACATTGGAGCCCAAGAATACTATTCATTTTTAACTGATTGACTGCTTAACCTATTTTTCCGAAATCAGTTGAGCACAGTTATTCCAACACCAATACCAACTTCTCAGTATCGTATGAGGTTGGAAGCTTGTAAAAACTAGGTATTGAGCAAAAGTTCAGGCATTCCTCAATTTCTTAAATCATGTATGATTTTTATTAGATGTTGCTTGGACAAATTGTTCATACTCTCCCAGTTAATCTCCACATAAGTTTCTGAAGCACCTAAAAACGTCCAGCGCCACCGATACGGCAATGAATATCAATTCTTCCCAGTGACAATCGGTAACATTTCTACAACTTACATTCTAGCCTACATTTACGCCCTCTACCACTCCGGAAACTACGATCGGCTATTCGAAGTGATTGGAAGATCAAGATTTGATGAACGATACTACAAGGAGCTGCAAGAAATCTGGTACAAAGCACGGTACAAAGAGGTAAGCATTGGATTGCTTTTATTCTTCGAACTTCACAATTATTTCTTTTACAGAATGAGTCCAAACGAGGCAAAGAGCTAGGCGCTGTTGAGAAGTATCGTCTCCGACGAAAATATCCGCCACCTCGAAGTATTTGGGATGGCCAGGAGACTATCTACTCTTTCAAGGAGAACAGTAGAAAATATCTCAAGCAGTTCTACAAACAGAACCAGTATCCTACCCTCGACCAAAAGAAAGAAATCTCCAGGGCAACAGATTTGGAAATTGTTCAGGTAGAATTGCTGCATTTTTTTAGCATACAATTTTAAAAACAATTTTTTCCAGATTTCGAACTGGTTCAAGAACCGTCGACAAAGGGATAAAACGCGATTGGAGTGTGCACATTACAATCGCCCACAAATGATGCAGTTACAAACACTAGCCTATTCGAATCTTCCACTGAATATGAACATCAATATGCCATATTCATGTAAATCAGAATAAATCTA